CGCGGGCGGGCTTACAGGTCGGTCTGGTCGGCGGCGCGCCGGAGCTCTGCCTCCCGGAGCCTTCGGAAGACCGGGGCGTCCAGGGTCCAGTGAGGGTAAGCTCTTTTCTGCGAAGTCTTCCTTGTCCCCAGAGCTACTGAACCAGGACCTGAGCCCGGGTCTGGCCCCGCAGGGACGGGACGGCTCCTTCCCACTCCCCATCCCTGCTCCCTCCCTCCTCCCCGCACACGGATCGGGTGTGACAGCAGCACGACAGGGAAGCTGGCCGCAAAGAGAATGCAAACTTTGCTGTTGGCTGTTTATTCTGGTTTTGTATTTTAAGATTTTTTTATTGATTTTGAACGAGAGAGAGAGAGAGAGAGAGAGAGAGAGAGAGACTGGAGGCACAGAGCACCTGATTCCTACCCAGCGCTGGCCTCCGACGTCACGCTTCCTCCGGACCGTGTCACATCACCGTGTGTCGCAGCACTCACCCCAGGGCCCACCACACGGTCTTAAGTCCCGTCCCCACGGAGCTGCGATAGAACAGAGCCCCCTCTCCAGGCTTGCGAGCCCCGGGTGTGAAACGCGAGTCAGCTGGCTCCACCGGACTTCCCTCTGTCTCCAGGGGTCCTGGCCCCTTGCATAAGAAAGCCCCCCCCCCCCCAGCTAGCTTTAATCAGATGTTTTCTGCTGCGTGTGGAGGAGCAGTTAGACCAGGGCAGGGCCAGCGGGTGGGCTCGGGGCCTCTGTTCAGCCTGGCCCTGCTCAGATCGGGCCGGCCAGGCACCGAAGTGGGTCCTTTGCCTCCCATTCCAGGATTCAAAGCAACTACATGTCGCTGCAGCGGATCAACCGGGAGCTGGAGCAGAAGCTGTACCGCATGGTGAGGGCCACCCCCGATGCCCACTGCCCACAGCACCCTCGTCCCTGGGCCCCCAGCTCTGGCAGGGCACTGCCAGCCTCGCTGTCATCCCCTCGCCCAGGCAGACGCTGGGTCACACGCCTTATTTCCTGACACACAAACGCCTCGCTGGGGCTGGGGCTGGGCCTGTCCCCCCCCTTTGTGCACTGAATGGAGGGTGCCCTCAGGAAGGGGAGGCGCAGGGTTCAGACCCCTTGAGCTCCAGTGGCAGGTGTGAGCGCCTGACCTGCAGGGGTGTAGGCAGGGGGTGGGGGAGGGCTTGACAGGACAGGGACCTCAGCTCAGCGTCAGCCAGAGACGGAGACGCAGGCCCTGAGTGAGCCAGAGACAGGTTCGCTCCCCAGCTGTGCCTCTCATGGGACCGGTCCCTCGGACTGTGGCCCCAGGGGGCCTCGACCCTCCTGGACACACACACACACACACACACACACACACACACACACGTCTGCAGTAACCTTGGCAGTGCCGCCTTGCTCTGAGGACTTTCCTCTCTGTCTAGTTTGGGTACAAGGTTCTTCGGTTTTGGGAAATCAGAAATGGGTGTTCGGCACCTGCCTGCCTTCCAGGTGCTGTCAGAGCCGTGGCCGTGGCGGGGCTGGCTCTGCCTGGCGCCCTGGACAAGGGCCCCTGCCTTTCTGAGCCCTGGCTTCCCAGTCTGTTGGATGAGATAGGTCAGGCTCCTTGCTGGGCGCAAGGCATCCTCGCTCAGTCCTCGCCCCAGGTCCCCAGGCGGCCGGGCCTTGCTCTCCTGTGTCCAGATGAGAAACTGGGGCTCAGGGAGGCAGGCTTGCCCGATGCCATCTGGCTCGTCAGTGGCGGAGTAGGATTTGAACCTGGGGCGGTCTGTGCACTTACCCCTGCACTCCGGGGCCCTCCAACACCTGGTCGTTAGGGGCTGCAAGAGGGCACACAAGAGGCCTAAGGGAACAAGGGGGCGTGAGCCCCAGGCCTTGGCTGACCACTGACCGCCTCCGTCCACTGCCCTCCCCCTGCTCAAGGGCAAGCACTACGACGAGGAGAAGCGAGCTCTGAGCCACGAGATCGTCGCTCTCAACAACCACCTGCTGGAGGCCAAGATGACCATCGACAAGCTGGCCGAGGACAACGTGAGTGTCAGGCTGTTCTGGCCCCCAGGGGCCCAGGCTCGGGTTTGAGGGGCAGGCACAGGGCTCACGGGCAGGTGGGCAGGCCTCCAGGAATGGCTGGGCAGCCGGGAAGGCAGGGCTGCCTCACCAGACACACTGCCAGGGGCAGAGACAGGAACACTGGGCCATAGTTTCTCATTCAAGTCAGGGCTTCCCGACTCCAGGGTTAGGGCATGGCAATTCTCAGTGGGCACACGGCCACATGCCCACCCATGGGGACTCCCCAGGAGATGGGCCTGGCCGCCCTCCATGGATCCCTGGCCGCGGACCAGGCATCCACTAATTAGCATCTGCTCCTCGACAGACCCTCCTGAGCTGAGAATATTGTGTGAACGACACAGGCAAAAAATTCCCTCCCCACGTGAGTGTACATCTGAGTGGGGAAGACAGGCGACAAACAAGAGAAACGCAGACGCTGTAGTGTGTTAGAAGTGCTAAATGCTGCTGAAAAAATTCAAGCAGGCACGGGGCTGGGGAGCTGCCCGTCGCAGGGTTAGCAGATTACAATAGGATGCTTGTGGAAGAGGCTGCTGGAGCCCAGACCAGAAGGGGCGAGGGAGCTCGCCGGGTGGCTGGTTGGAAGAAGAGCAGAGAGACCAGAGTGGGCTCCTCGTGGGGGAGGACCAGGGTCTGAGGTCAGAAAGATAATGGGAGGTCACATCATACAGGCTCTATAGGGACCCGGGTTTTATTCTGAGTGACATAGGGAGCCACTGAAGGTTCTTGAGCAGAGGAGTCACCTGAGTGGATGTCCCGCTTTTACTGAGAACACACTGTAGGGATGGGGGTGGGAGCAGGGAGAGCAAGGAGGGGGCTATGGTAACAATCCAGGCGCAGGCTGTGGAGGCGTGGCCGGGAAGGCGGCCGGAAAGGTGGCCCGGAGGTGGGCAGAAGGGCTTGGTTCTGGGTCCGCTTTGAAGACGGGAAGAAGCAACGGGATTGACAGAGACCTCGGATGTGGTGTGAAAGGAGATGGGTCCTGTCATTTCCTGCTTCGGGGGAGGGGGGCA